CTATCAAAGCCATGTTGGGAAGATGACTACCTCCTGAATTTTTTAAAAAAGTGTCAAGATCTAAGTCTATGGTGATGGCTAGATATAGAAGTGAAGAAGAAGATGAGACACAAAGGAGCAAGACAAGAGATAATAGCGGATGGCAAAGAAGCATAGTACCATAGAAGGCAAGAGAGGGACGTTTCCAGGAAGAGTCAATAAAAGCATAAAATGCTACTATCTTAGAAAAATATGGTCAATAAAAAATAAAAACTAAGATGATAGAAGTAAATCTAAATATACTACTAAATAAAATAAATGTAATTGGACTAAACTCACTTATGAAAGGAACAGAGATTCTCAGCTTGAAATAAGCACAGAGCACCCATATGTTGCATAAATACACTTAAAGCCTAAATGTACAGACATCAAAGGCTGAATGTAAAGAATATATATATTAAATACTAATCTATAGAAAATAAGGAAAAGAACTATTAGTCAAAATAGATGTTAAGGCAAAAGTAATAAGTAATAAAGAGGGTCTTTTTTAATGATTAAAAAAAAAAAATCACTTCACCAGTAAAATAGAGTACTCCTAATCTGAGAGCACAAAACAAGATGTTCTGAACATTTACAAAACAGAACTTGACATTTGCAAAACAAGGAGAAATCGACAAATCTACAATTACAGAGAATGGTCATTAGAATTCAGAAACTGTGAGACCACACAGATTTTGGGAAAAAATGCTAAGAATGTAAAAGATATAAATGACATAATTTACATTTCTTATTTATTGGGCATTTATAGAACTCTGGCCGAACATTTAGAGAATCACATTCTTTACAAAAACAGAATATATATTAGCCTACAAAGCAAGTCTCTAGAAATAGCAAAGAATCAAAATCATACAGAACAAGAATAAGAAGCTTTTTAAAAGTAACATTCAGTGAACACAAAAGGAGTACTTAGAATTAAAATAAGGCAGTAAAAGAAAAAACTCAGCAGTATGTGTGGAAGATTAAATTGAAGAACTCTCCCAGCAAGTAGAATAAAGACAAAGAAATAGAAAATGAGAAAGAAAAGCTAAGAATATTAGAGCATCAGTCCAGTAGTTTCAACATTCCCAAGTTAGGGATTTCAAAAATAGACAACAAAAGTTTTTGTGTGTGCTTGTTTTGTTTGTGTTTTGTTTGTTTGCTTGTTTGTTTGCTTTTAGGTCCAGGGCAAGCTGAAGCCCTATGACTCAAGAGAGAGACATGCTAAGTCCTGGCAAAGCCAGGATGCCTGCTCAGCTGACACCATGCTACATTTCTATCAGTGCAGATGCCCAAGGAAAGCTGCCTCAGATGCTTATCTGTGTTTCACTTGTCATGACCACAGGATGAAGAAGTTGCTGCTCTCTTCTCTATACCCATTTCCAGAAGCTCATTCACCTAACCACATTCCTGTTGATGTCCGCTGGCTGGCCCACATGAGGGTCTCCCTAGATGCCCTGACTCTGGTGAGACCCATGTTCTTAGGACATGCTCATGACCTGGCTTCTCTGACTTCCCCAGAAGAGGCTCTTAAAATGATCAAAAAACAAACAAACAAACAAACAAAACACCAACCCCAGACGGTGACTCAAAAACTCTAGTCAGCGTATTTTCTCCTGGAAATAGTATTCTTTTGTTATAGTGTTAGGTTTGAGCATCTTTCTGAAGTGCTAGGCATATAAGTGATAGAACTCCAGAGAAACGCAGGACTCAGTTAACAGAGATATCAGTAGGGCAGTTGCCCTGAGAAGCAACTGCGGATATGATGGCTCAGGACTAGGGGGCTCAGAATATGACAGTAGTGTTCTACTTAGTCAAGAAGTAATGGTGTGAACATGGGTGTTTACCTGATTATTGTTGTTTAACTTGCACATATAGATTTTATATATTCTTATGAATATGAGACATTTAAACTTTTTTTTAAGTATGAAGAGGTAGAGTTCATCTCAGTAATATATTTTAACATCAGAAAATCAAACACTGCCACCAAGTGAAGATGACAAGGAAGTCACTATATTTCTAAGTGGGGGCCACATCCTTCAAGAAGACAACATTTTGTTGGCCTGGTGGAAACCAGTACCAGGAGGTAGGGTTCAAAATAAGTCAGTGGATGTAGTAGATTCTATTATTGCTCCAAATAGTCACTGCCCCTCTCGTAGGGTGACACTTCCCACTCTATTAATGTCAGGTTTGGGGCTGGAGTTCAAGTGCCAGTGACATGTGTGAGTATTGAGAGGCATCTTTAAAGCATTCCATGGGCCCTGGCCGGTTTGGCTCAGCGGTTAGAGCGTCAGCCTGCAGTCCTGAGAGACCTGGGTTCGGTTCCCGCTAAGGGCATGTACCTCGGCTGCAGTTTGTCCCCGGTCCTGGTCGGTTGTGCGGGTGGCAGCCACTCGATGTGTTCCTTTCACATCGATGTTTCTCTCTCTCTCTCTGTTCCTCTCTCTCCCTCCCACTCTACCTGAACAACAACAACAACAAAAATGCATTCCATGGTTCTGCTGTCCATGAGGCCAACATACCCCAGACAAGGACAACTCCTCCAGTCTGGGTCCCAGAATTACAGATGACCAACAACAAATAATAATGAGAGCAAGAAATAAACCTTTGCTGTTATAAGCTGAGTTGCCTGGGGTTGTATGCAAGATTAAACTACAATAAACTACTCTTCAGAGAACTTTCAGTAGAAAAGGAGAAATCAGAAGTCTAAGGCTACAGAATGTGAGGAAAGGGTTTGGTTACTTTATGTAAGGCCCAGGAATGTTGAGAGACAGGGATGAATATTAGAAAAAGAATAAAAATACAAATCAGAGAGAGAATAACAGACAATGTTAGGTGCCATGGGTAAGGAACAGGATGAGATCACCTCAGAGACGAGGGATACAATGCTCTGTCAGACTGTAACAAAGGGGGAGAATTGGTGAAAAAAGAAGTGAAAGGAGGAAATCTGATCAAGATGAGGAAAATAGTCTCAAGTTTTAGAGACAGTTATTGGTGGGGACAGATGCGAAGAGTGAGATGCTAACAAAAAGTAAATAAAGCACTTAAGAATGAGGTTGGTTACAATGACATTTTTCACAGAAGTGAAACAAATAATTTCAAAATTTGTGTAGAACCACAAAAGACCCCAAACAGTCTAAGTAATTTTGAGAAAGAACAAAGCTGGCAATACCATGCTTCCTGGTTTCAAACTATACCACAAGCACTAGTAATCAAAACAGTATGGCAGTTAGATAAATCCAGATACACAGATCAATGAAACAGAATATAGAGCCCAGAAATAAACCTGTACATTCATAAAGAATTAATTTACAACAAAGGAGCTAAGAACATACAGTGGAAAAAGGACAGTCTCTTCAATAAATGGTGCAGGGAAAACTAGATGGCCACATGCTAATGAATAAAACTATCCCACCATCTTACACCACATACAAAAAATAATTCAAGATGAATTAGAGACTTGAATGTAAGACCTGAAACCATAAAACTCCTAGGGAAAAAAATCCATAGGTGGTAAAGTCCTTGGTAAGCTCCTTTTTCTTGGTGGCCTTTTTTAGATATGACTCCAAAGGCAAGAGAAACAAAAGCAAAAGTAAACAGATGGGATTACATCAAACTAAAAAGCTTCTGTACAGCAAAAGAAACCATCAACAAAACTAAAAGGCAACTTGTTGAATGGAAGAAGATATTTTCAAATCATAATTTCCATCAGAAAGTTAAGGTTAGAACTACCACATGAACCAGCTGTTCCACTTCTGGATATTTATCTGAAGAATACAAAAACACTAATTCAAAAAGAGATATGCACTTCTAAGTTCACTGCAGTATTATTTATAATAATTAAGATGTGGCAACAACCTAAGTGTCCATCAATGCATGAATGAATAAAGATGTGATACACACACACACACAATGGGCTACTACTCAGCCATATATAATGAAGGGAATGTGTCATTTGTAACAACATGGATAGACCTTAAGGCTACTATGTCAAGTGAAAAAGTTAGACAGAGAAAGATAAATATAGGATGATTTCACTTATATGTGGAATCTAAAATGAATGAAATAAATAACAAAACAAAAAAAAATTAATAGATACAGAAAACATTGCCGGTTACTAGAAGGTGTGAGTGTTGGGGAAAAGGTTAAATTGTTGAAGGGAATCAATTGTATGGTGATGGGTGGTAACTAGACTTATAGTGGTGAACACTATATAGTGTATACAAATATCAAATTATTATATACATATTCATACATATATAAAACCTTATATACCAATTTTACCACAATAATGTTTAACAAGTCTTTGTGCAAGTTGACACTACATTCCCTAATTCTCAATCAGTGAAATGTTGGCCCAGCTACCTGCTAATAATCACAAAAATTACATATAATTACAATTAGTTGTATTTAGTTGTATACTTACACAATAAAAGTTGAGAGATATTTTACCTTTGTACAACTGGTTAGCTGGTCTTAGGACTATTCATCAGTATTTTGAGGAAATGAGAATAACAAAGTACAATATTTTCAAAGAACATTAAATTATTTTCTAAATGCTATACAGTAAGTTGCCAATAATCACTAAAAGTAAGCTTTTGTGTGTTATTTTATATAGTACATTGCTTTTTATGTTTAAGTTTCTGAATTTTCATACATTAAATATTGAAATATTTCTGACAATGTGACTGAATGAGAAAATTAAAGGAAATAAATAATTTGGAAATGGGTATAGTACAAACAATTCAATCACAAGATTTGCTGGATTTTTATCAATTGTGCAATTGGTTACTGAACTGTGCTACTCAAATATTTGATTTCAGATTCATTTAAGCTTACGATTACATTTATAAAAGTATTATAATTATTTATGCAAGTCATTTTGCCTTTGATTTCCTTAAAGTATTTTACTGCATATCTAGAAATTTAATAATGCAATGTAGTCTCTGCTAAATTAATAAAAGAAAACTTAATTCCATAATCACCCTGGCAAAGACTGGTTCTAAGCCATTTGGAGCAGTGGTTGGACGAAATCTTCTCCTTCTCCATGTTTCAGATCTATTTTCCCTCGTGATTTTTCCATTCGGGGGAGGAGGTGGAGGAGGAATAGGCATCATGTAATTGTTAGCGTTCAGGAGTCGATATTGATTCCCTCCATGTGAATTGTCCATGGAGCTCCTGAACCTCATCATCGCCTTCTTGCCCTGTAATCACATTTCATGACATAAGAGCCAGTGAAAGAGAAATGGTGACTCAACGTAACCCAAAATTAGAGACAAGACTGTATGATTGGCATTGCATGCAAACACAACTGATTTAAATAGGCAAACTCAAAACACTCCAGTCTGTTTGAAGTATCCATAGCAAATTAAATTTTCATGAATTTCTAACCTTATTAAGTGTATTTTTAAACCAAATATGCAGTGATGGCATCTTTGTGGTACTTTGGGGATTTTTTTTCCTCAACAATCCATTAAATCAAAGTAAAGTTAAACAATTTAGAATCAAGAAGTTTAAAGTGTTTACTTTGAATCAGGGTTGAACAATCTACTTAACAATAGGATGTTAGCACTTTCCTTATATTCATTTCACCCACTCAGGTTTTATAATAGTCTTTGATAATATAATATCAAGGTACCAAATACAGATGCTAACCCAGTGATTCTATTCATTTTATTTTTTTCTAGAAATTCATTTGCAAGATAACTATACAAATACACTGATGTAAATGTGAGGACACACACACACACACACACACACACACAATGTAACAAATTTAGTTGAACCATCAAGTCCATCAATAGGAGAATGTTTAACTAAAGTTTGCTTTGTTCTTATAATAGATTCTCACCAGGCTTCAAAAGGAATATTGTGAATATATTCATTCTGACATGAAAAGATCCATGTGGTGTAATCATACATTTCTTTTAAATAATTTATTTATGGATTTTGATAAAATTGATATCTGGAAGACTTGAACATAAAGTTGCCATGGAGATTTGGATTATTGGGGAGGATAGCATTTTATATATCTTTGTATTATTTGAAAGTTTGATCAACATGTATTACCTCAACAGTTAAAAAGCACCAAAGTTATAATCAATAATTATGTTACTTCTTTCAGTTATATTTGAGTCTTTGAATTTTCACAAATTGATTATTTTTGTGTATCTGAGGTAGTTTTCCAAACTTTAAGTCATCTTATTATTATTATTGTTTTTAATCCTCATCCAAAGATATTTTTCTCTTTATCATCAGATAGAGTGGGAAGGAGGGAAGGGGGAAGAGAGAGAGAGGGACAGAGAGAGAGAGAAATATTGATGAGAGAGAGACACGTCGACTGGTTGCCTCCCGCACCACCCGACCAGGGCCAGGGACGAACTGCAACCGAGGTACATGCCCTTGAGTGAAATCAAACCCGCAACTCATTGGTCCACAGGCAGACACTCCAACCACTGAGCCAAACTGGCCAAGGCAAACTATAAGTCATCTTAAATTATTTTTACCTACTTTTTACCAATTTATTTGGTATGATTTTAAATTTTTTTCGGTCAATTTATTCTTTATTTTGAGATGCTTAAATAGTGAAAAGTTATTTTTAAGAAAGGGAAGTCATTTTCCAAACATTTCTCATTGTAAATAAATAAAAGCAGGTCAAATAAAGACATGTATGTGTAGTACATATTCTGATTGAAGACAACCTTTATGTAAACAGAGAGGGATTTAAATGGACACTCACCAAGGAGTTTCTAATTGTTAGAATGATTCATATTGCAGGTGTTGTATTCTCATTTTACTATTTCTATATTTTCATTTTTCTGTGATGGTGTGCATTGTATTACAATAAAAATATAAATTAAAGTGAAAATAATAAAAACAATAAAATGAATGACTGAAAAACTTTCAACACTTTGTTTTTTTTATTTTGTTTTTTAATTTCTAGTAATTGTCAATCAACTTCATGCCTTATTTGGAAATGGTCTGATAATTTTTTTTAAATTAACATGCTGTTTCTTACCTCACAGTTTTAGCCCAGACCATCTTCAACATCTTTCCATGCCAGTACAAATAATTATATCTTATTATTTTAAACATACTTTAATATACTATAACATTCTAAAATAATACCCTATTAAATTCTTAGGTATCTTATATTGTTCACTATTATACTACTAAATATTCATGAATTTATTTCTTTTCACATATGTGTGTATTTCTGGAAGAAAATGCCTATATGTTAAAATGCTTGAGCATGTTCATTTAAAATGTTGACAGGTATTTCCATATTGCTTTCACAATAGTTGCACCTAGTTCTATTTCTATCAATAGTGCATGAGAAACTCTCATTCTAAGGATAATCATTTTCAATATGTCATTATTTTTACTCAATTTGATTGCAACCAGCCTGTTTTTTACCAAATTGCTTTTGCCTAAATCAAAGATCCTCACTCCAGACATCTAGAAGGATCGACCTGCTTATGTCTGTTGTACCTTCAAACAATTCCCATAGGCATACCACATCCTTCTTTAATCTTTGAGAAAGCAATGCAACTTTACTGAGTGTTCACTGTGTACTCGTCAATCATGCAGACTACTATTCTCCAGGAATTTCTTGTCTGATATTATATTAAATCATTTTTATCATCAGTGCCATTGAAAAAATTACATGCCTTTTCTGGCAATATATTTTGTCTGGGTACATCATAAGGTAAACTCCAGTAAGTGAGAGACTTTTGCCCGTCTTGATAATTGATATACCGCACATGCTGAGAGCAGTCCCTCAGTGAGAGCAAGCGCCCAGTAAATATTTACTGAATGAAAAGTGTAAGTTTAGCTAGTTTAAATTAATATGGGCTCAATCTCAATCTTGTCAGCCATGTAAGTTACCATTAAGTGCCTGTCCCGCAATCACTTACACCCCAAAACTTGAAAACAGAAGAATAAAAGGCCCCATGCATATTTAATTAATAAATCCACCTAGTGGCTCAGAGCAGATTTGGAAAATCACCTGAAAGGAAAAATAAATCCCTCCCGTAGCCAGTAGAACGTGAATATCTGACTGATAGTATTCACCTATCTTGCCGGAAAATGTATCTATCAAAGTAGTATAGTAAAATAATACTTCTAGGAGCATAGAAAAGAATATAGTCACCTTGGCAAACATGGAAATTGCCCATCCAAGTATTATCTAGGGTAGAGGAAATCTCACCCATTGGACTTTGAATATTTCCAGTCCTAATGGCAAAGTTATTCTTGGAGCATACAGGGGGGTTTAGCCAAAGACCCTTGAGTTTTCTGGTACCTTTGGCATCCCATTCCTGAAATGAGATAGGTGCATCAAGCCATCTTCGCCTGATGCCGCTAACATTCCATTCCGCCGTGTCTGCTCACTCTGATTCCGTGCTCACCAGGCAACCTGCCCATTGTGATGTGGCGTCCCACGCAGGTCTGCCTACGGGGTGGACATGCGCTGCTTCTACCAACTTGGATTACTTGATCTTTTGTGGAGCAATGATCCCTGATTATGATTTTGCTCCCCGTTCTGGTTTACTATAGGGAGAAAAATTAGCCTGTGGTGGGTTATTTTAGTTAGCCTGAGACCATCTCTCAGGATTGGACCATTCCTGAACCCTAGCTGAAACAGAAGCTGTCTGGACCCCCTAAGTGGAGACCAGACCCTAGAAAGTAGCAACCTAATTATGCCCCAGTAAGTTCCTGCCTGTCTCTAAGCAGTCTTCCCTAGAAACATACCATCACTTTCAGTTTAATTTCCCCTGCTTTCTGATAAAGTACTATTAAATGATAATAAATTATATTAATAATGTATGTATAATAAATTAAATTACATGCTATATAAGCTAAAAACCATGCTAAATGAATTAAAATATTAGTTATCATTTTTAGAGTTATATTTATACTCTTATTATGAAACAATCATTTATATGAATTAATTCCTTAGTGTCAAGGTTGTCTGTCAGAGATAGATCAAAACATCTTAATTTCATATGTCTTACGTTTCCTAAAAAAGGAATGGAACTGAATTCACCCATTTGAACACAATGACTATTGTATTATGACACAGGTTCTTAAGCTGGCAAATGTTTGTCTTGTGTTAGAAATATAAACAATACCCTCCCTAACTACTGAATGCCTTTGTTGCCTCCCTGTTTAAGGAACTCAGATGTGGGTACTATACCTGCTTTTATGCTCTTTAAAATATCTAAAAATGACCCGAGACATGACCTTGAAAAGGAAGCAGAGTCAAGCTCCTCTTTGTGCTTAATTCAGCATTTTTTAAAGATGGACTTTCTTTTCCTTTTATATCCAACATTCTCCAGAATCAAACTTGAAGCAATTTCCCACACTGGTGGTAAAGTAAGTCAGCATGCAAATGCAAACCTGTTCTTGGAAAGTTTCATTTTCTAGGTTTCGTGCATTAAACTTTGGAAGCAGTCACCACCGGGTCTGTTCTGATAGAAGTTATGTCCAACTATAGAAAGTTCCTCTTTGTTTTTCATACAACCCTTCAAATTAATGAGATCACTTGACATTACTGCACTTCTGCTCCTTACTCTTTTTGCTCACTAACACGGAAGTTATAGGCTTTCCCATTGGAGTGAGATAATTAAATAGACCATCGTGAGTGCTTAATAAGTGCGCAATCCACGTTTCACTGAGATACATTCAATCTAGCATCGTAAATACTGTGATAATCTAATAGTCTAATTGAGAATAAAAAGATATTTCTTGAAGAAATAACATTTACCCCAGTGGGAAACGGAGCTGCATTTTCCAGCGGTGAGGTTTTTGATCTGGAGCCCGGAGTGACCTTTGGAACAGTTCCTGTGGCAGGATTACTGGGAAGAGGCTGTAATCGAATCGGAGGCTGCATAATTCCTGGGGCAGTGTATGGTCTAGGGGCTGTCTAGACAATTAGGAAAAAAATCCATTTAAATTAGTACCTTGACATGTTTCCAGAACCAATTAATAACCCAACACCTTGACTAGAGTAATTAATGGTGCCTTTTTACTGAGCAGATTAAACTTTAATTACGTCCTTCCATTATACATACCCTTATGACCTAACGTATTTGTTAAAACATATGGTGTAGAAGTTCTTGACATAACTAAGTGCCACAACTACATAGTATCTAGATGAAGGAGAAGTTCTCTGTTAGGTTCCTGTATTTTATTCATACTGTACACTCACTGACAACACCTCATTTATGTTGCTCCTAGAAGGGCTTTGCTCAATTAAATGTTAAGTTGAATGATGTTCTTATTTTAGAGATCTAAAGGGATATGATTGGAATGAACGCATTTCTATTTAAATGTTTTCAACGTAAATTGTACTGTGGGTCCTTTAAGTCTTAAGATTAGCGCTGAAGTCCAAGCACTGCGATTCAAAAGAAGAAGAAAGGTAAATGCTTCACTATAATGCATTACTATTTAGTCAGCCTCTTCCTTGAAACACTAGGAAAATAAAAATAAAAAAAGAGTCCCTGGCAACTTTAGAAACCACTGTGAAAAAACCGAGAGGTTCTGTGGGCTGGAAGTTTCCCATGTGCCCCTCTTGTCTGCCTTCTGTGCCCTGCTCTGGCCTCTGGGAGTCATTTCTTCATGGACTACACCAACTGACCCCAGGATTCCTGTTACCTTTGGCCAATGAAAAGTATCAGCAGGAGATCAAAAGACAGGAGGAAACCAGATTGGGGTCTTCATTCTCCTGGACCCTTCCTACCGAGGTTGTGATGGGCCAGCTGGTGTCAGGAAGTCCCCAGCTGTGTCAGGAAGTCCTCTCCCAGCGCACAGGTAGGAGAGATTTCTGTCCAAGCACTCCCTTCCCCTCAGGCCGAGGTGGTGCGTGTTCCCACCGGGCTGACCCCAGCACGCTAAACATCCCTAGTTGTTTTCCTTACCCTTGCATGCATCTTTGTAAGCAGTTTCTTTACTAAACCTTCCTAATTACCCTATTTGTGCGAGCCATCTGTTTCCTGCTGAGACCCTGGCTGGCACACTTTCTGATCAAGAATATACTGCAGAGAATACCCGAGATGCCAGTGTGGAGCCGGGGCAGCGTCTTTCGCGGCACTGACAGAACAGTATGAGGGCAGTACAAAGGGCGGCAATGTTTCAAAAGTGGAAAAAACAAGGCTTTTGGCCTAGTTATTCTATTACAATAAAATGGTAGAAAACCTGTTAAGAATGATGCATACGCCCTGGCCGGTTTGGCTCAGCGGTTAGAGCATTGGCCCACAGTCCAGAGAGACCTGGGTTCAGTTCCCGCTGAGGACGTGTACCTCGGTTGCAGTTTGTCCCCAGCCCTGGTTGGTCGTGTGGGTGGCAGCCACTCAATGTGTCCCTTTCACATCGATGTTTCTCCCCCCCCCCACTCTGTCTGGACAAAAAATGGAAAAATGTCCTCGGGTGAGGATTAAAAAAAAAAGAATGATGCATACATATTTGGACAAGAGGATAGGAGAAGAATAGTAGATAGATGCCTCATAATAAGGTTTAATACATTGATTCTAAAGAATGGTGAACAAAATAGTCAACTATGTAAAAATGTAAATACATAAAAAATGACAGGGTAACTTCTACCACCAATAGTTGGTCTTTGTGCCATCCTGACAAGTATGTCATGTGTTAAATCTCTGATATTATTAAGTCAATATTTATAAGTACTACCAAGAGATTAAAAAGTAAATTTTAACACCCAACGGTGACACGGACAGCTAGTGCCAAACGATCCACATAACTGCTGCCAAAGAGACAATGCAACACAATTCCTGAGCTCTCACAGCTCGGAGAAGTAAAGTTATTTGGAATAAGTCAATGAGACTGGAAAATGAGTTCCACCGAAGCACTTATATTTTATCCAAATGGATGAACAACAGAAGAAAATGGAGGAGAAGAGAAGAGGAATGGTACATTCTTTTTAAAAGATTTTTTTTTCTTTAGAGAGAGAGGGAGACAGAGGGAGAAGCATCGATATGAGAATGAAACATCAATCGAACCAGCAACCTTTCGCTGCTAAAGATGATGCCTGACCAACTGAGCCCCTCCAGCCGGGGTGAGGAACGGCAAATTTGAACAGCCCAGTCAGAAGATAGCCAGGCATGGGAAGGGTGGCCAAGATAATATTTCCCAATATCTGTTTTCCTTTCTTTACCAGTAACAGAATTTTCATCAGGAAACACGGCTATTACAAATAAAGATCACATTTTCCAGCACCTCTTGCCATCCTGAATACATATATGCTCAGTTTTGACAAATAAGATGTGAGCAGAAGTGATACATGAAACTTCTAGATCATGTGCTTAAGAGAGAAGAAGTCTGAGCTTTTCATGACTTTATAGAGTAGAAATGTCACACCAGCTGACATGCAAGAATGAGTATTGGGGTGGAGAGGGGCTGCCTTACGTTCAAGTCATTGTTGTTTTGGGTCTCTGCACACAAACCTATATCCTGACCAACACAGGAAACCAAATGGATGGACTAGAACAGCATTGGATTTCATGAAATGGAACATAAGCCTATGAGTCCAAAAGTGGAGGGTCGTAAAACCCACAAAGAAAAACCAAGCTAGAGGTTTCTGAACAAGGGAATCGGATCATTCAAAAAAGTTCCTTTGGACTCTGTGAAACAAATAAGCCTTAAGACTCTCTCCTGTCAAATAATCCAACTGAACATGAGAACATTGAAAAACTAATGTAGGAATTCAAAAAAGCAGGTTAACTATAAACTAGAACATGATCAATTGACTGTTGTGTTCTAAATTTTACTTCTCCCCATTTGCATACAGATATCATTCAGTTAGATGAATGTAGCAGTCAAATGTTTAACTGATTACATTTATCTCTAAAAACAAATCTGCACCATTCAACTAACAGCTGTGAGCTACAAACTGTTGTAGTTCACATCAAAGGCCACCTTAAATCTGCTATATTTTAAATTGTTCATAATATATTTTCTTGGAATAAACATGGCACTGTAGCTTAACATTTTCAAATCTGTACCAGAATGTGAATCGAAACTGACTACCTGGTGATTATTCAGCTTAGCTGAGCATTTCTAATTCTTAGTGGAAGATCTCTGGGGGTGCATTTTCCAAGCCTGTGCAGAATTCGTTGAGTGACTTTCCAGAGTTTTAACTGGAGCAATGCAGCTAAAAGCTTATATGTTATTTTGAAAGTTTAGGTGCAGTTAGTGACCAAATGCAATAACTATTCACTGGGTGCTTTCCATATTCACTCAAGAACATTAAAAGAGCAAAATCGATGGCAATATCCCAAAAGGATTGTTGTCTCAATGGCACTTTGAGATCAGGAGTCAAATTTAAAGAACATGCATCCAGGTTGGGAAAACAAAGAGGAGGACCTGAATTTCTACAGAATAGAAACTACGATTCCCAAGATCGCGATAGGTGTCCCTTCGGGTGCAGAGCACCGTAGGGGGTGACCAAGAGAAGAGCTGTGGTTGACCAGACAGAAAGGCTTCTAAAGTGCTGGTGACAGTGTTTCCTGTAATTTTTAAATTACTTTCTCATTCCTGCCACATTAAGATCTTCTGGATGTATCATAAACTACTTATTGAGGGTGTTCAGCTGGAAAATTGAAAAGAAAGCCTTTCAAGGCTTTTTCCTCTCTGAAACAGGTGGGAAGATAGAAAACCGTATGTGATTGTTTCTTTTGTTTCGCCCAGTTTAAGCCTTTGCAAGTCTCGTGAATGTGCCACCCAATAGAATAATTATTTGTGTCCGTATACATTTAAATAAAGCCCGGAAATATGGCGACAACAAAGGGAAGACGGTTGCTTTTCATAACTTGAGCCGTTCACCCGGAAATGTCAAAACATATTTACCTTCTGAAAAATGTCAAAGCTTAACATTCTACGTGATGAACCTGCTTTAACAATCTGTGAAAGCACTGCAATTTCTCTATAAACATTGTGCAATCCAAAAAAATGTTCATGCTAACAAGGAAATATATTAGGCTACACAAAGCAAGAATAAAGATGCAATCAAGCAATTCATTTACAACTTCAACCACCAACCTCCAGCAAACATTCTGCAAATCTTTCCTTGTGTCTATATTGTTTCAGGCTACCTTACCTTCCTTCAAGCAAATACCACCTCTGGGTTATAAATGAATCAAACTGGAAGGAAAGGTCAGTGTGCAATTTCTTTACATGGGATTTCTGCACATTTAATTGTTTTTATCTTGGAGTTAGGTGCACATGCTTTTGATAAACGAAGCAGAAATAGAAGTATCTGGCCCAAAATGCGATCGAGTACCATCAGTAAGCTCTACAAGAAAGGTGGGAGCAGAGGGAACGGCAAGAACAAAATGCAGAGGTCAGAACACAAGCACAAGTACGGCAAAGGGGTTCAATTTTGCTGCACTGCCGAATGCTAAAGGATAATTGTGGGATAGCTCAGCTGAGGTCAGAGAGTGTAGGGCCTTAAATATCAGGTGAAAGATATTTCTCGAGGTGACACAAAGCAGGTGAAGGTATTTGGACATGTAAATAACACAAGTATTCTGTCCTTAAAGTAACTTAATCTGGCAGTAACAACCAAAATGAATTCGACGGGGGGTGTTGTTGATTAGAGGTGGGGCGTTCAGCAGAGACAGAGCTGAATAGATGCAGGACTATGCTTTCACTCAAAAGAATTCTCAGAATTATACAGACATGTACCCAGACAGCATTCTTTCTGAGAGTAATAAGAAATTATAAATTAATTACCGGGGATGGTGCATGACAGGGAGTTTGATGTGACTCACCAGTGTTATTGGACTGGAATGCCCTTCAGCGACCAGAACACCACGGCCACGGTTAGTCTTTGGGCCCACTGGTGGGTGGGGGTTCAGTACTGGCTTGCCTTTTTCCATTGGCCACCTTATGGGCTCCCCCTAGAATAAGAAAGTAATTTAACAAACTGATGCATAATTAATAATCCAGGTTTGGTTAGTGCCTACCAGGTAAAAAATACCACGTGACAAAAGAAGTCCTTTGCCGTTAGTTTCAAAATGCTCCTTCTGAGGTCTATCATGAGAGCCAGGAAGTTTCCGCAGCTGTCCTGGGCAGCAGGCTGCGGTAGTGAAAGGCAGGAAACTAGGTCTGCTTTATTCAAAGAAATATCTACAGGGGCAGTGTATCCTCCGTTTTCACAAAAATACTCATCCATCTGCTTTAAGTAGATCACTGCAAGAAACACAATGCTCCCCACCGCTCTGATCGGTAGAGAGTACCAGGAAGTGTTACTTTTCTACCTTGAAACATTATTAAATAATGCTCTGAGCAAAAGGCGCGCGTATGACACAAAAGAGGCCAAAATGTAGGTCTTTCACTCAGCGCAGCCATAAAGTGAAAATGGTTACAAGCCAAAATCATACAGGGAGGAACTGGAGTGTCTACCACAGATCTTCCAGCGCTGTAACCTGCCCATCTGTCTAGTTCGTGTGTCTGGCAACCTGGGCGAGAGAGGACCGCACTCTGCTCCGGGCAGCACGAGTCACTCTTTATTTCCAGGAACCGTTTTTCTCCATCAACACTTCAGCAGTGAATTATAGAACCCATAACTCAGTCCCTGATGGAGGACATATTGGCAAAGTTGAATTAACCACAAATCTCTACACACTAACTCTTCTGATCTTGAAAAACTGACCTGTCTTCTGTTATTTAACAACACTTTTGTAACAAGATTATCTTTTGACCATGATAAAATAGAGAGATTTGAGTCTATCAGGCAAGAGGGAAAAATTACTATCTTCTATGGCAAGTTGTTCTATAGAAGCTGTGCAAATATTCATCAGTCTGTGAAATGTCTCAGGCCTCACATTTGTAATACGGCACAGAAAATGAACATGTGAGCTCGAACGGCTCAGGAAATTGAGTAAAACTGCCCACCTACACTGGAACCTTTCAAACAGGCCTAATTGAATCTCTCATCTCTCGATTCAAATTTATATATTTCATACGTTCACCTCAATAAGGATACAAATACGAAAATAGGAAACCAGCAAGGAATTTTTAAACATCTCGTCCTAAATGCCTAAATCTTATGCTTTTGTTTGCTAGGGTAGATTTTTCCTACCGCATGCTCTCAAGGGTCACATTTGCATGAAAATGTTCCATTGGACCATTCTGGGAATGCCCTGTTCTCTATCACATAGCAAACATCACCATCTATTTTACCTTCTTAAGACAAAAAAACAAAAAATCTTCCAGCCTCTGTCACATATCAGCCAAGAAAATACAAAAGCAAAATTCCAAACTTGAAACACGTTTTCAAGATTTTCTCTGAAAGGTTTGTGTCATAAAACTTACTTTGCATGGGCAGCTCCTGTTTTGTCATGATCTGTAATGATGGTGGTCAAGATTTCGGCTTGGTGAAACCATCACCTGACCTCAGCTATGACTTACCCAAAGTAAAGTGCCCAAAGGAACGTCAATAATAGCACCAATGGCTTTCATAATCATTAAATTCTATTATGAAGTTAACAGAGAGTTATGCAGCTTCTTACCTTAAACCTCTGAATTCGCTCCTTTCTTGCTAAGGTCTCCAGTTTCTTTTTAATTTCAAGCTGATGGTAACGCTAAGCATACAGGAAAGAATGGATGAGAGATTCATATCAATTACAGCGACACATTTTTTTAGAGGAAAATAATCCTACCAGCTAACGGTATTCTCAATTACCCTTCTTGTCATGGAGATGGAGAAGAACCCCTGCTTTAGTGTGCAAGTGGGAATATAAATTGGTGTAACTCTTTGGAAAGCCAATATAACATATCTCAGACAGATAAAAGTATCCCTACCCTTTAACCAATAAATTTCACTTCTAAACTTAGGAGGAAATCTGGATTTTTTTCTTTAAATGTTCTATGTGCAAAGAGGCTATCAAAAAGGTTTTTGTGGTCGTTGTTGGGAGGTTGTTCTCTTCAATGCAGAAATTCAGAAGCACTATTAACCTTAAAATGGTTAAGTTTTTCGCACATTCAATGGAATAGAATATAATCATTAAAATTAAGTTATAAAGATTTTGTTTTTAAAAATGGAAACTACATGTAATACAGAAATAAAAGAGAATACAGAATTGCACAGAAAGGCAATTTAATTTCTCAAATTCATATTGTGTGCTTGTCCCCACAGTAGGAAGGTGTTTCGTGTGTATCATCTCTTCTTAAACAACTGTAATTGCTAAGCAATCTTATTTTACAAATTCAGAAACTGAGGCAGAGTGTCACAAATTCGCCCCCAGGTCACACGTCTAGTCAATAGTTGAATTTCAGTCTGACACTATCTTCCTATATATGTTTGTTGTTTGTTGTTTTTGTTTGTTTGTTTGTTTGTTTGTTTTCACAAAACCATGGTCCTCTCAAAACATAGCCTGCTTTTATTAATGTATAAATATGAAGAGAGACTAAAAGAAAAGGTGAGTATGTAAACAGCAGTTATTTCCGAGAGGAGGCTTTATATGTGGTTATTTACCTTTTTGATGCTTTCTTGTGTTTTCCAAATTTCCTATATTAGTCATATAATTAAAAAATAAAACTCATGTAAAAATAATCTGCTTACAATTCAGATTAAAATAGTTGAGACACATTTGAGAGCATTCTAAAGGCTTTTCTTTGTCCTTGACCCCCTCCTGCTTGTCCGAGGCCCTGCAGACTCGGCCATTCCTGACCCAAGCACTTCCCTTTCCTCTCCCCCCTTTCCTGTGCTCCCACCCACCTATCACCAAACTTTATTAGGTTTGATATCAACCACTTTCCATCCTCTACTTATTTCCAACTCATCGCAGTCACCCACTCCCACCGCCTCTCCTCACCACCATCGCTGAACTGCTTTTACCAAGGTCACCAATGTCTTTGTCCTCTGGGTCAAGCCTAAATTCTTTTGTCCCAGCACTCACCATGCATAACCATTCTGCCACTCATGAGAACCTGATGGCTTCCAGGACACCACTCTATCAGGCACCTTTCCGCCACTCGAACAAAGATTCTGTTCCTGCCTGTGTGGTCCCTGATCTCCTGCAGTGCACACACCACCCGCCCAGCTAGAAACCTCAGAGCTCCTCAGCCTGCCTCACTCAGTCGTCCTCCCTCTCCCCATCCCCACAGACAGCCACGTCTCCCCAGCGTGTCACTACTGCTGTTAGTTCACACCCTTTGGCGACGGCTTCCTAATTGACCTCCCACCTCCAATCTTTTCCAGCTCATTAATCCATCTTCTGCATTTTCAGCAACATCATCTTTCTAAAACAGCTCTGCTCCTCTGTTTCACTCTCCTGCTAAAGAAACGTTTCATCTCCTCATCACTGCACTCCAAACTTAGTTTGGAATTGGAGGCCCTCCGGAAACTGGGCCCCGACGGACTGGGGAGTGTCCCTTCCTGCCGCTCGTTCAGCCAGCCCTGTGCAGTGTGGCCTCAGTGAGCTTTCCTTTCATGCACAATGTCCTTCCACGCCTCTGTATTCTCACTCTCCGAAACGCCTTCCTCGTGTGTTCACGCGATCTCCCATTCCGTGTTCAAGGTCTACTACACACGGCAGAACGTCTGTGCACCTTCCTCTGCCTCTGCAGGGGCAGTCACCGATCCCTTCCTCTCTGAGCTCAGTCTGTTTGCTGTTCTTCTAGCATCCGATCACTTTCCACAGTATTTTTCAAAATTATATCTCGCAGCTATGCATCACATAGCCTCCTAATGGTACATAGTAAGCCTGCAATTATTGTTTGTTGCATGAATCGATGAATATTAATAGGACAACATTAGTAAACAGCATCAGCCTAAACTAAATGTGAGACAATTTAGAAAGAAATATTATATTTGTTAATTAATTTATATGTGATAATTATATATATCATGTATTATATTTACCATTTATCTAAAATATTTATTCCAGACCTTAAGAATACACAGAGATGCTTAAATAATAGCACATTTACCAGTTATAATGTATCAGTTACATGAAAGTTTGGAAAACCAAACTTCAAGAATCAAGGGTAATACAGAACTTGGTGCCTACTGATTAAGTTTGAAACTAGGTATAGATTAATTTTACACTGTACTGTTTTTTTAAATATTAGTTGTAGAATTGCAATGAATATTTTTATAAACAAGTGAGTTTGGGGGCATACACAGTGATTCTATGTAACTCATGCTCATGATATAAGCACAAAATGAATCCGTAAATTAACAGATCACATCCATCTTGAGCGAATACACTTGCTTAATATAATGGTAGCATAATTTTCAGTGGCACTAAACTTGGTATTGGTTTACTGATGATTCTATAGTTGTTCATAAATGTTTACTGCACCCACAGGTCAATGGTTTTATGAGGCAGGTTTTCTGATTTATTGCTATATGTTCAAGCCAAGAAGTGACATGCTTTTTCACAGAGATTAAAATGGTGTTGATGCTTGAAACTACAAATTTCATGGAGCAAGGCTAAAATAATTTATCAAGTTAGCTAGCTATCCTACTAAAAATGCCATGTCAGATTTTTTTTTAAATGTTGTTGCTGCTTAGATTGTAAATCCATGCTGACCAATGTGGCCTAAAGTAGGAGGGACGGCAGATGTTTCTATGCCTATTCCTTGGAATTGAGCATACGGCTGAGCTTCGGAGCCTTAAAAGAGTAACAAATCTGAAATAATTCATGGCAGTAGAATTACTGATATTTAAACAGACATCACTTTTTTTTTTTTAGCAAATGGAAATTGAGGTACAGATGGTGAGGGCTGGTATGTTTTAGAATAGCCATTATGGGTTAAAAATCTACATTTCTTACATTAAAAATCACAAAGTATATAATGGTGTCCATATTTTTCTCAAACTGAAATGGAGAAAAGCTTACATTAGCCTGTTGGCTCCTTGCTACCTGGAGAAATATAGAGCGTTTCTCAGGTCACCTTGTTCCATTCTTTTTTTTTTTTATTTATTTTTTTATCCTCACCATAGGACATTTTTCCATTTTTTGTTCAGGTAGAGTGGGAGGGAGAGAGAGGAACAGAGAGAGAGGAGAGAAACATCAATGTGAAGGGACACATCGAGTGGCTGCCACCCGCACGACCAACCAGGGCCGGGGACAAACTGCAACCGAGGTACGTGCCCTTAGCGGGAACCGAACCCGGGTCTCTCCGGACCGCAGGCTGACGCTCTAACCGCTGAGCCAAACCGGCCAGGGCTGTTCCATTCTTTTTTAATGAGCTAAAAGAAGAATACCTCTGCCTCTGGATATAGAAGCATTATTAATTACTATACTAGAAAATATCAGTGATCTGCCCAGCCGGTGTGGCTTAGTGGATTGAGCATGACCCATGGGCCTAGAGGTCCCAGTTCGATTCCTGGTCAGGGCACATGTCCGGTTTGCAGGCTCGATCCCCAGTAGGGGGTGTGCAGGAGGCAGCCAATTGATGTTTCTCTCTCACATGGATGTTTCTATCTCTCTGTCCCTTCCTCTCTCTCTGAAAAATCAATAAAAAAAAAAAGAAAGAAAGAAAATATCAGTTATAAAGAAAATAGTAAATATTTGTACCTCCATATCGAGGACCTTATGGAAAATAGCCTGGGCTAAGCACTGCCGGATATATTTTTGGTGATCCTTCTTCATGATATTTAGTTTGTATTCTTTTTCAGAAAGTATTCTTCCACTTCTTGTGATCTGTCATGAATAAATAAGACACACACAGAAATACAAAGCAGAAAATGTATTGTTAGTCATCAAAAAGGCAGAGGTAGAGAGAGAAGCAGCGTCTCCTGAGCCTAAAGGAGTATACTACTGTGGTTGATAAACTTTCACTTTTAATAAATATTTCATAAGGCAAAAAAAGAAAAAGACAGTCGTATCTACCCATCGCTGTGAAAACACACACAGGTGGTGCACTTGTTTAAAACAAGGTTTTCATGAGAGTGGCAATTTTCCCTTGATAGAACCCAGGTGTTCTTTTCATTTCTTTTCTTGTGCACATCAGGGAGGAAGGGGTGGGGTGCTACCTTGAAACAATGTATAGGAGCAGTGATCACAGGACTGATGCTCTCACAGGTAGTATACTCTGAAGGGCAAAACAGGTAAGCTACAGAGATTCTCATCAGTTTGTTTTTAAAATAATTGGCTTCATTACTTTGTTTTCACACTGCTCTTTCTTCTTCCACTCTCCAGCCCAGAATGTAATATAACTTGTTGTGATTCAGATATTTTTAGATTATGCAGTGCTGCAGATATAAAATATTCCAGACTCGTTACTACTGGCATCATTGCAAATCCCAGAAATGGTAGTTTCTGTTTTTTACTTATAGTTGACCATTGAACAACATGGGATTTAGGGGGTACTCATCCCCACACTGTTGAAAATCTGCATATAACTTTTGAATCCTCAAAAACTTAGTTGTCCTTCAGTGTCTGTGGGGAATTTGTTCCAGGACCCCTGCTGATACCAACATCCACAGATGCTCAAGTCCCCTGTATACAATGATGTAAATCAATGCATACAGTTGGCCTTCAACATCTACAAATCAAAAACAATACAGGTATTTATTGAAAAAAATGCACATGTAATTGGACGAATGCCATTCAAACTTGTGTTATCTGTCATTCAAGGGACAACTGTACTTGTTTTTCTTTTCTTTTAATCCTTCCTGTGGGCATTTTCCTTTCTTTCTTTCGTGTGTGTGTGTGTGTGTGTGTGTGTGTGTGTGTGTGTGTTTGTGTGTGTGTGTGTTTCTATATGTTTTGTAAACAAAGGGTGATATTTTTCTTGGATTGTTCATCTTCCTTTCCACTTCATTTTCAGATCTAATCTGCACCCACAGGTTTCTCAATTTTGATAACTGTGGGTTTTTTTTAGAAATGTTATTGCAACATATTGAAGTGTTGCAATTAAGCTGTGCTACAAATGACTGGCTGCTGATAATCGTTTTTTATGCATACATTTCCCAGGGGAAGAAAGGGGTATGCTTATGGAGAGTACGCCTGTAACTAAAACTCCACTGCAGTCTTGGAAACGCGTTGTCCATGGGATAGCATGTCATGTACTCCAACAGGAGAAATATGTTGAGAATGTGCTGAACTGCCTCCCCTCTGCAGTTGACATGAGTCATTAGTATCTCTCCTCTGGGGGTTGTGTGATCGCTCCAGCTAGACTGGAAGTTCCTACAGGGCAAAAGTTGTTCAACTTGAGCCTGCATTAAAGTCACCTAGAAGGCACATTGAAAAACAGATTGGGCTTTTGATGGGGATTACATTAAATCTTTAAATTGCTTTGAATAACATGGCCATTTTAATTTGGTACAGCCACTATGGAAAACAGGATGATGGTTCCTCAAAACATTAAGAATGGCATTACCACATGACCCAGAAATCCCTCTTGGGTATCTATTCGAAAAAATGGAAACCATTTATTCATAAAGATATATGTACGTCTACAGCCAGACACCACCACTAGTGCAGCCTCAATGTGTGGGGATGGGGTGAGCTGGGGGAACCCGGCTGCCCCCTTTCTTGCTTTGCCCTCCCAGCGATGGCGACCAGAGGACATCCATGGGGACAGCACTGGGAATTCATGGGTTTGGAGCCCCACAACCCACTGAGTTACCCTGCAGGGTTGGTCCCCTGGGACCAGACAACCAGGGGAGGTGCCACCTTCCCAGGAAACAAAGTCCATTTTCCATCACCCCATGGAGATCTGAAAAGCCAGAGAAGTACAAGAGAGCTAAAACAACTTACGATTCAGTGTTACCTACTGGAAAACAATGGAAAGACTTATCGATGTACTAGAGATGTGCTACTGCTACTTCGATGCACAGAGAGAGAGGAAATCCATCAAACACCAGGAATAACCAAGGTAAATGAGGCAGCTCAGAAAGAAAATGAAAATCTCCAGGGGGAAAAAAAAAAGTAAAGACATGGAAATAAGTGGTTTAAATGACAGAGAATTCAAGATCGCAGTTATGAAAAAATTCAATGGGATGCAAGAAAACACTGATAGGCAGTTTAATGAACTCAGAAACCAAATCAATGAATAAAATGAGTACTTCACCAAAGATACTGAATATTTAAAAAAGAACCAAATACAAATTCTGGAGATGAACTCAATAAAGAGATCAAGAATGAACTAGCAAGAACAGGAAATAGAACTGACCAGATGGAGAAAAGAATTAGTGATATTGAAAACAGAAATCTAAAAAGAATGCAGAGGGAAGAAGAGAGAGACTTGGGCATTAAAAAAAGAAAAGTGAGAACTATCTGACTCCATCAGGAAGAAGATGTAAGAATTACAGGCACACCAGAAGAAGAGAGGGAGAAAGGAACAGAGCCTATTCAAATACTTGATGAGAAATTCCCAAACTTATGGGAAGAGCTAGAATCTCGAATCCAAGAAGCCAACAGAACTCCTAATTACCTCAATCCAAAAAGGCCTTCTCTAAAGCACAATTTATTAAAACTGTCAAAAATTAATGACAAAGAATGCTCAAGGCAGCCAGGGAAAAGAAAAATCTAACCTATAAAGGAAAGCAGATTAGGTTGTCACAGGACTTCTCAGCAGCAACTCTTTAAGCTAGATATTCAAATATTCAAACTACTGAAAGAGAGAAATTATCAGCCAATAGTAATATATCCAGCAAAGTCATCCTTTAGATATGGAGGAGAAATACAGACTTTTGTAGACATACAAAAGCTGAGGGAATGTATCACCAGAAAACCTTCATTGCAGGAAACAAAGAACAAAAGGTCATAACACTATGAGTATGATCACCAACAAACTGGCAGCGTAAACAGGGACAACTTGTGACAACAAAAACGTAAAAGTGGGGAGGGTAAAGTTCTGAATTTACAAAGAAGGATGGAGATCAGATGCATTCAAAAGAAAAAGGAATCCTGTACACACAAAACTTTCTTTTTCATAAACCTAATGGTAGCCACACACAAAGAAATTCAAAACTGAGACACATACTTAATAAAAGAGGAAACAGAGGGGGAAAGTACACAATACCACCAAACAAAAGCAACAGACAGAAACACAACGGAAAAGAACCAATGGAGGCACGGAGCTACCAGAAAAATATATATAAAATGGCTGCAGGGAATCCTCATACATCAATAATTACCCTATATGTAAATGAACTGAATTCACCAATAAAAAGGCACAGAGTAGCAGATTGGATCAAAAAACAAAACACAAAAAATTTATTCACAAAGCTAAATGCACCCCTATGTCTATTGCAGCAGTATTCACAGACATAAAAAAATAAAAATAAAAATAAAAAAGCATCCTTCAATAGAGGATTGAATAAAGAAGATGTGGTACGTATGTGCAATGGATTATGACTCAGCCATGAGAAAAGGTGATATACTCCCATTTGCGATAACATGAATGGACCTTGAGAATATTATGCTGAGTGAAATAAGTCAGAGTGAAAAAGTCAAGAATTATATGATTTCACTCATATGTGGAATATAAATCTGAAAGCAACAAACAAACTAACAAGAAAAACAAACAAAAGCTCTTAGACACAGGTAACAGTTTTGTGGTCACCAGAGGGAAAGGAAGGGGGTCGTAGAAAAGGGTAAAGAGGCCCTGGCCAGTTTGGCTCAGCGGTTAGAGCGTCGGCCTGTGGTCCAGAGAGACCCGGGTTCGGTTCCCGCTAAGGGCGCGTACCTTGGTTGCAGTTTGTCCCTGGCCCTGGTTGGTCGTGCGGGTGGCAGCCACTCGATGTGTCCCTTTCACATCGATGTTTCTCTCTCTCTCCCTCCCGCTCTATCTGAACAAAAAAATGAAAAAATGTCCTTGGATGAGGATTAAAAAAAAAGAAAAGGGTAAAGAGGGTCAAATAATGGTGACAGAAGGAGAATGGCGAACACACAATGCAATATACAGATGATGTATTATAGAACTGTACACTTAAAGCCTGTGTAATTTTATTTTAAAATGTCACCCCCTAATAAATTTAATAAAATAAATTTTTTAAAAAACTAATTGATTGGCCTCACCCCCATAGCTTCTGACTCTATAGGTCTGGGGTGGGGCTATAAAATTTGCATTTTCTAACAAGTTCCCAGGTGAAGCTGAACATTGCTGATTCAGAGCCTATATTTGAAAGACTACTCTAGAGAAAGAGCTGTGTCTTCCTTATCTGAGTTGCCATGCACATAACAAACGTTCAATTAAGTGCTTGTTAATGATGTTGATAAGTAAATACCAAGTCCTTCCTGTTTACACATGAAGCTCACATATTGTTATCCAAAGAAGTAATGCTAATAGTAACCACAATAATTACAACAACCATTTATTACACAGCTCTAATTGCCACAACAATCCTGAGGGCTGGGTATCATTAGTTTTATTTTACAATTGAGAAAGCCTGAGCTGACAAAGTTGCGGGATTTGCTAGAGTCAATGCCTTGGAAAGGACAGAGCCAACTTTCAGCCAGGTCTGTCTGATAACAAAGCCTCAGGAGGCAAAAAGCAAGCACTCAGAGACCTGAGATCCACAGGCCAGAGTGCCAAGCCTATAAACAAGCCAGGCATAGCAACAATGGTTAAGAAAAACCACGTGGCTTAAGAAAGTACACAGCAAAACTCTTCTACCACACTTTCTATGACCAAACCCGTTTCTTTCAATGGAAAGCTCTAGTATTTTTTAGTGGTTTTTACATTACATTCAGAGGAATGGGATGATTGTGGAAATGATAGTTTGGAGCTAGCAAAATACATTAATGTATCAATAAACCACCCCAGAATATGAAACTGTTTTTAAAAAGTCAAAGAGAAATTGTGAACTGTTTGTATCTTTCACAACAGATTCTGGGATTATTAAAAACAACATAATTTTTCCTACAGACAGTAATCCTCTCTATCCTTAATCCTTAATAGTTCTTGGCCCATAGACTGTGTTCAATAAGTCTGTTGACTAACTGAATGAACAAAGAAGTAAATGTGCTGCTGAGAAGTCAGGGTTTTTCCTCAGTAATTTATAAGTTGCCTTAGTAGTCCCTGTGACCTCTTTTCCTATCTTTTGAAACACAGCCTCAAAATGATAAATCAGAGCTTTGAAAAGGAAGTAATTTTTTCTGAAATGAGGAGGGGAGGACATGCCACTAATTAGCTCAGAGAGAAAACCAGAAAATGGAAGGAATTGTTGGACTTAATGAAACAAAAGGGCAGGGAGAAAGTAAAGCAAAAACTTACCAGCCCTGATCTTAAGAGATGTTGCCTTATCCTCGTATTGTTAAAATATCCAGCCAGGTGTTTGTCGGTAAGACTATTATATGCTGCAAGTAATCTGAAACAGAAAAATGAAACCATTAAGGTTTTATGAAGCGTTGCTTGATAACCAAGGATATTCTTGACTTTCTTATCCCCAAACTGTGCATAATCTTACTCATCCAGCCAGCCATTCACGTATGTGTCTAATACACAGGTACTACTGAGCACCTACTGTTTTCTACGTTTTACGATAAGAACTGGGAGAGAGTCCTGATATTGTTTTTCCTAAAGACAAGTATGAAAATCAGACACGAACAATTAAATTAATGCAAAAAATCCAACAACAGAAATATGCAAAAAGTCATGGGGACACAGAGAGGGAGAGCACCAACCCCAGCTGGCAGGAATGTCTTCACAGAGGAAGCCTGATGGCAAAGTTGGGGTCCTTCAGAGGATACTTCCTGCACTGCGCAGGGCTTTCCCTCACATGCTGGCGAGAGGCCAACACCTGTGATGCAAAAGCATCTCTTCTCCCAGGAAACGTTTCCTGAAACAGCCTGGGTGTGCTATTACCTTCCACTCCACTCCCCAGTACACATCGCACAGTATGCTATTGCTTTAGTCTCTTCTGCTAGACTTCAAGGCCAGGACGGTGCATTATTCTTTGTATTCCTATTGATGTTATGCATTGTGTACTTAAATAAAGATGAGTTCAACAAATGAAGGCACAATTTTGTTTGGAACTTATTCTTCCTGGTATAAATTTCTATCTAAGTTTAAGCTCAGCAGTTTAGAAGTCTTATAGAGATAGCCAGACAATTTCATTCATTCCATATCCAGAACCCCCCAAAATTATTGATCACTTTTGCTTTTCAGGGTCTTTCATTTCAAGAGTTAAAAGAGGATAAACTGGTCCTTGGATTACATGCTCGACCTTGGCAGATGGTCAATTTAAGACTAGCCATAAAAGTTGAAAGCTGCCCTGGCCGGTTTGGCTCAGCGGTTAGAGCGTCGGCCTGCGGTCCGGAGAGACCCGGGTTCGGTTCCCGCTAAGGGCATGTACCTCGGTTGCAGTTTGTCCCCGGCCCTGGTTGGTCGTGCGGGTGGCAGCCACTCGATGTGTCCCTTTCACGTCGATGTTTCTCTCTCTCTCTCTTCCTCCCTCTCCCTCCCACTCTATCTGTACAAAAATTGGAAAAATGTCCTCAGGTGAGGATAAAAAAAAAAAAAAAAAGTTGAAAGCTATTTTTCTAAGTTTTAACCTATACTTTATTAAACATTACCTGACTAAAGCACAGACACACATATATACATGAATGCAAATATGTGCAACCATATGTATACATATATAAACATGAGTGTATGTATATAGAGAGAGGGACAGAGACAAGGAGAGGCTGAGAGAGCACACAGCCCTAACATAAACCTGTCTTTAAAAAAATACACATCCTATTACCTCTAACAAAGATTTACAATCTGAACATTTATAAGCAGCCGATCCTTAACTTATTCCAAAACTAGAATAGGGACTCATATAGAGAATCGAGTAAATGTCATTAGCAACACTTTTATTTAGCTGTTTGCACTGCCTTAATTACATGGGGATGGTACTGTGACCTTTTCCTATCTCTGTTCTCTTTAACATCCATCTCAGGAAAGTTCTGTGCCGTCAAAGAGCAAGGAAATTTTAATTTTGTGCACAAAAGAGCCTGAGAAGCAGTTACAAAGCCCAGAAGCCAAGGGGCCTCGTGTGGGTTGCAAACACAGGAACAAGTGCGGAAACCATTATTTCCCCAGGTTTATGTAAAAAGATAACCCAAGAGTTTCTATAAAGCACATACAAAAGTAGCCCCGATCATGCTTTGAAACCATCTTTTAAATGAACTGTCTTGGTGTCCTATAGTTCATCAAAGGTTTCCTGTCTCCAAAAGGTCAACATTGTATCCCTTACCCTTTCTAAATCTCAGAATATCTTTTCAGCAACTCATTTCAGAAAGGTGAGCAGGTGTCTCTCAGTCCCAACAATCATGATTCCACAGTTCACAGATTCTTAAGCTAAATCATTAGACTGATAACACACATAGCCTTGGTCTGTTTTTCTGGCTTAAGGTGTTGTTTGTTTGTTTTGCTTTGTTTTTAAATAAATGGTTTGAAACCGCTGTGAGTGCAAAGCCCTGATGAAAAGAAAGAGGGTAAAAACGATGAAATAACATAAACCTCAATTTCACTACTAACTGAGGCAATTTGCCCTTCTTTTAATCCACACTTTGTAACGTTTTAAATATTTAGGTGCTGACAACAGCGCTAGCCAGCGTTGGCACCCATCACGTCTTCCTTCTGCTCCCCGGCTCCTGCTCATTGCACACGTGTGCACGATGCCGCTGTACTTACAGTTAAATGGGTCCAGCTGGCGGGAAACCTTGGCACACACCTGTGTTCACACGTCTCCCCACTTAGGAACGATTAGGGGCCCAGGTTGGGGCACCGTGTGTAAGGCACCTCCTCCCACGGCTGTCACCACACAGCTCGAGGAACCATAACCAGCTGGATCTACCCAGGCAGCGTTTCTTTGTCAGACAATGTCTGAATTCTTTTTAACGGAAACTTTAACTTAATGAATTGATTACAAGAAATTGTACTAGAGTAAATTATAGACAGACTTAATAAAACAGTTGTTATGAAATCAATGTTTGTCCCCCCCACCCCCCACCCCCCGAAATGCTAACCCCCGTGTGATGGTATCAGGAGGCAGGTCTTTGGGACGTGAGTAGGTCATGAGATCTGAGCCTTCACGATTGGGGTGTTGCCCTTGTAAAACAGACCTCACGGAGCTCCCTTGTTCCTTCCACCACGAGAAAGGACCATCAGGAAAATGGGTGTCTGTGAACCCATTTCACAGGAAGTGGTCCTCACCGGACACCGGGTCTCTGGCACCTCAGTCTTGAATTTACCAGAACTGTGAGAAATGGGTTTCTGTTGTTTGAGCCGCCCAGGCCATGGTTCTGTTTTGCAGCCCGAACAGGCTAAGGTCAACGCCATGCTCGTTCTCACCGCCAAGCCTCCCCCGGAGCTGGCAGTGCCCATGTCTGAGCCCCATGATCTCTCTGGTCCTTTCAGTTGCTCCTCTGGGGAGCTGGGTGTGCTGACCCGGTCACCGACTTAGAGCTTCTCTGGTTTGTCCGCCTGTGTCCTCTCCATTCCCTGCCACTGCTCGTCTTCCCCCACCCTCCTTCTTTTCTTTTCTCTCTTGCACTCGGCATAGCCCTGGCCACAGAGGTCACCTGGCCCCGGGCTTGGGGACTGCATCGCTCCTCGGGCTCCCCACTCCCTCTGTGAGTCACTTGGGAATCTTTGGTCGAAGGTGGACGTCCTGGTCACACTCAGTCCTGTGATCGGCTTCTGCTCCCATCCCTAGGACCAATGACTGCACTGGTCACAGAACTCACCAGGCCACTGTGACCGTGTCACCCAAAGGCCATGCTATTCATCCCAAGTCCCACAACTGACTGGCCAGACAAGTCTACCGCGTCGGTTTCTTTGTGTGATAAGCAAGACTCTTTGCTCACCCCCTGCTGGCTGGGTGGAGAATGACCCACTTTCTGGTTCAACTGGAGAACAGTCCTCTGAGAAACAAAGGCACACCCCACTTCCCTGTGGTGCCCGAGAACGCGAGTTGTGGCTGCTGAGTCACTGGGGTGCTGCCTTCCCAGCTGCAGCCTCTCAACACGTCGTCCTCAAGCCCTGCCTCCCACCACGGTGAAGATATAAATGGGGCTCTGAAGCCATGAAGGCGGCGATTCCTATCAGTCCCTCCACCTGCTCCCACAGAGACAGCGTGTATCCCACAAAAACCCCAACTGAAAGGAGAGGCACTGTAATATTATTAATCACAAACGGTTATCGAGTACCATTTTCACAGCATGCTGTAAGCCACTGGGACGGAGATGGCACAGATCCTGCACTACAGAGCCCGAGCTAGTGGGGAGGTATGCATGCGGGACTGTGTGTGTGTGTGTGTGCGTGTGTGTGTGTGCGCTTGGTTTCTCCCTGGGTTATAGGCCAATGCATTTACAAATCGTTACTGATGTCTGCGTTCCCCAGTGTCAGGCGCTTTGCCTGAAGCCGGGGGAGGAGTGTAATGTCCCCATCCCATCCTGCACATCACAAGCACTTCCACACTCAGACTCTTACTTGTTTTCTTCTAGGGCCTAGGTCCCTGGAATGGGACTAATACCTATTACAGATCTTCTATCTTCCTGAAATGGAAAAGCTCCAAAACAAGATTATTGCTTAATGTTAAGTCAGTCCTAGGAAAACCTAGGGTAGGGTACCGTGGGTCACACTGATAGAGGACTTCTTATGGCCGGCAGCTGTCTCGAACCCCAGCCTGCTCTCCTACCTGCCCGTCCCCACACTGTCTGCCCTTGTGGAGGGCGGGGTGAAGGATGTAGTGGTTAAGGCTCCAGCCCCAATTCCATCCCGTCTCCAGCTTCGCTGCATCTGTAACTGGGAGCAGGCGACCTGACCTCCCCACGCCTCCGTGGTTCCACCTGCCGTGAAACATTCTGCACGTGACCATTTGCGAATTCTCTGAGGAGAGGAGGCTTTCCCTCCACTCTCTTTTCTTCCTGAGCCACCCCTACATTCACCTTCAAAAGTCCCTTGGCAAACCACATATTTGATAAGGACTTAATATAAAATATATACAAGAAATTCATAATAGTGGAAAAGTAGGAATCATGAAATATTCACAGAGAAATGTTATTCTACCGAGTATAGAGATAGAAACATTTTAAATAAGGTTTCTTATAGACAAAAATTAACAAATATATAACTTCCATGTATAAGTAGCTATAACATTAGCATAAAAACAATGTATGAAAACTTCTTACTCTTAAATATATATATATATATATATATATATATATATATATATATATATATATATATATATTTCCTTAGCAAACTTATTCGGAGGGAATATGAAAAATCATTTTCGACACGACCTGTTTTATTTAGCTCAGAGTGGGACTTAGCCATTTAGATGAATGCGTTTGTGTAGTTACTCTCGCTGCT